CTGTGGAGGTTGATGTGAGAATTGCTGTGGAGGTTGATGTGAGAATTGCTGTGGAGGTTGATGTGAGAATTGCTGTGAAGGTTGATATGAGAATTGAGATTGATGTGGGAATTGCTGTGAAGGTTGATGTGGGAATTGCTGTGAAGGTTGATGTGGGAATTGCTGTGGAGGCTGATGTTGCGGAGGCTGTGAAGAAAAGGAGGATGACCGATGATATTCATTCTGCCTTGGTGGAGTATCATCGGAGAAGGTTAACTGATGAGATTCATTTTGACATGATGCAGAATTTTGTAATGGGGAGCCAGAAGGCAATTCATGTGAAGAAGGTAAAACAACAAACGAGTCGTTTTGTAATGAAGGGATATGGGAAGGTATGATAATTTTTTTTTGTTGTGGGAGTGAAGAAGGTTTTGAATAATTATTTAATTGTTGTCCTTCTGTTAAGACAGATTGACAATTTCGAGCCGGTGCAGTTGAAGGTGATTTGACGTTCTTTTTATTCTTCTTCTTTTTCTTCTTTTGTGAAGGACATAAGGGATCATTGTTGAGTTTTGATTTGCTAGGCTTCTTATTGTTGTGTTGTGTTTTACCACGATGATTGTCTGCACAAGTTGTTTGTGGATAGTCTTTCTTTTCAGCATTGATCCACGTTGATTCTTGAACTGCGCGAAAAAAAAAAGGTCGAGTTTAGTGATAACGGGTAATAAAATTATAAATTTGATGATATACACAAATTGGGGAGGGGAGGGATAACAGAATTTTAGAATTGAGAAACTCTCAAACATGTACGCGTGCGTATTTTGTTATTCATTGGGTTCGTATTTACGTGATAAACAATTCATTATCCCCCGACATTAATTTTTTTTTTTTTAAAGGAGACATTTACCTGATACTACATTATTATTGTTGAGTTTGTGGTGAGGGAACCTACTAATGTTGGCCATAATCGAAAATTTATACCTCGAAATAGAAAGGTTTGATAATTGTTGTGGTTTTTAAAAGAAACCCTTAAAGAAAAAATCGAATGGAAAAAAAAAATATTATATATCTTTTTATATCTTTTATATATTTTAATGGTGTATGGTATTGATTATTTTTTCTCTCTCTTTTTTTTTTTTCTTTTTTTTTTTTTTGTGGTTTATTTTTTTTATTGTGTGTGCCAATGTTTGTAATGTTTGCAAGAAAGTGTCTGGAATTTTTATTTTTTTTTTTTTTTATTTTTTTTTTTTCATCGTAAAATTTCCCCCGTTATTTATATCACAATTTTAACAGTGGGAATAAAAAAAAAAAAAAATATTTTTTTCCGTTTTCTTTTCCGGGAAACATAACCGGCATAATGTGACAAAATGGAGGGTAAATCAAAAATATGTTAAGAATATCACTTGAACAAACACATTAAAGTAAAAGATTTTTGATGGGCGTTCATTTATAGTTGTGTTACCGTGGTGCAGTTCAAAAAGAACCTTACATGTAGGAAAAATATGTACAATATAGAAGGTCACATTGAAATATTTTTTTGTTATTTTAATTTATCCGATAAAAAAGGGGTTTTGGTTAAAAAGGACCCATTGTTCGACGTATGCATGAAAACCAAACGAGGAACGATCTACGATGTTGGAGGACATTACCAATAACAAAAAAAAAAAAAAAATTAAAGAGAAAGAGAGAGAGGGAGAATAAGAGGGAGAAGAAAAACCAGTTGAGTCATTCTAAAATTAGGAATCAAAAAAATAAAAAATAAAAAATAAAATAAAATAAATAAATAAAAACATGGTAAACTTCTCACCCCCTTATTTTACTAGTACAAATTGAAAGTAGGTTAGATTTTGAAAAGTAATTGTAAAGTAATTTCGATCAATATTATCTAATTGTTTGTTTTAATAGTATATAATAGTCAATTGTGGGCGAAGAGGAAAAGGCAATTTATTATTATCAAACTGTGGGTTGTATATCATTGGGCGGAAGATAAAAAACATTAGATGCAAGATTCCCAAATAGTCGATAACCCCACGCGCCCCAGAAGCACTTTTGACTGTACTTTGACCAACTTCAGTTAAAACCTGTTTAATATATTTGGTGATTAGTGAGAACCAATCACGACCGAAGGACTTATCACCAATTTTCGGTGAAATGTCCTTTTTTTTTTTTAAAAAAAAAAAAAAAAAAAAATTGGGGGGGGGGGGGTAGGAACGTCGAGAGGATCGCATTTCCACGCTTCAAATAAAAAAAACAAAAATTCTGACGGATCTCCTTTTGATTCCTAATCCAAAAAAAAAAAAAAAAAAAAATGATATGTTTGTTTCAGTAAATAATCATCTGAAATTTTCCCATTGTACGACCTCAGCTTCCCTGAACTACTGTCGCTATTTGTGGGATTAGGATAGATGAAGCGATAAACAAATGACTCAAAGAATTATCACAATTTTTTGAAATCGCGTGTTTATCGCAGAAATTTCGTAAAACTAAAAGACCTTTTTTGGTTTAGTACGGATTTATTCCGGAAAAAAACATCATCAGACTACTTGAATTGAAAGATTACTACTAAATACCCCACATTTTAACTTTTATCTATACTAAAAAAATTCTAAACTGCCTGATTTGATAGTAAATTCCTTCATTCAAATAAATTTCTCCGAAATTTATTATTTATTTTAATTAAAACATGTGATGATCACTTTATGTGGCATTAAAGAAGTTCGTTCGTTCTTTATTTTTAATTTTTTTTTAAAAAAAAAAAAAAAAAAAAATTTCATTTTCGAGTTCGAAATTTAGAACTTTACCAAGCAAAAATTTCCCGCCAAAAAATTTCAACCAACGACCAATTAATTTCCCACCGTCCTCCCTAACTAAAAATCTAAAACTTTATCTCTTTTGAGCAATTCCATTTATTTACCATATGACTAATCTACTACCACAAAGCTATTCTTGGCGGCGTAATGGGACACATAAGATATATTGGTAAATTCATTGGATTAATATATCACAGAGACAAAAATCAACTTTAAATAAGGTTTGGGTACAAATAAAATTTGTGATATACTTATAATCGCTAATGTATCACACGAAAAAACTGCCTCGTCTGTAACGTTGTAATTTCAGGGGATGAGAGGTCGAGGAACCCTTGTTCTTTGTGGATTTTATCCACATTATCCACTTTGAATAACTTGTTTCATTCATCAAATTTTGTGCTAACAAGAAATTCTGATAAATTAAATGGTCCCACCTATCTTTTTTTTTTTTATTTTTCACATTAATCGTTCTGCAGGGAAGTATCTAAAGGTTGCTTGGATTTGATTTTTTACGAGTAAATCATCCCAGGGAACTTAAGTTGACGAATTGTGTTCGCAATACGGATTTTTTTAAAAACATGACTTGTTTCAAACGCGAGATTTACACGAAGTAGTTTTTTTCTACTTTCAGGCTTTGCATTCCGACTCGGCCGAATATTTATCTTTTACCAAAAACGTAAAGGAACGCTAGCTAATAATGTATCGAGAACCTTTTTTCCATTTTGTTTATTTATATTTTGAGGTTTAAAGTATTTCTAAAAAATAGCCCTCAACCTTGTGTAAATTTTATTTCAAACATAAACAAAACAAGAATGGCGTGCTGTTCTGGATATGGTCAACCGTTAAGGGAATACATAGATTTCGATTTGACCTCTGTTTGATTCAAGAACTTTCTAGTGCGATGTTTGTACCCTATCGGGTGTATCATGACACCGATTCATAAAAGAAAATAATCAAGTTGATTGAGATTTTTGTGCAAATGAAACTTATGTAAATGAGATTACAGTTTTAGGTTGTGCGTGACTAAAATAAACAATTTAATTTGACTTGATAGGGATAACAAATGATGATAGTGACAATGATGGTGATAATTTAGAACCCTCATTCATTACCGGATATTATCTTTTACCGACCCATCGAAATTCGATTTGTATCCCCATTAAATTGTTTATTTGATTTATAAAAAAAAAAAAAATAATAATAATAATAACAATAAATTAACGCGTTGTATATATATCTGTTTAGGTAAGCAAAAAAAAAAAAAGAGAGAGAGAAAAGAGAAAAGTGTAAAAATGTTTATTCTTACGCATAATTAATGAGAATTCCTTTTAAACCAATCAAACCGATCAATGGATTGAGAAGGTTCTATTTTTTTTCGAATACTTTGACATCAATAATTGGTCGGAGGTCAAACAACCGTTTTGATTTCGACCCAGAACGTGCAGATCCATGTTGGATAATCTTTCAATCTTCATTGGAACATGACAAAAATTAAAGTGTCACATGTAATGCTTATTTCTTTATGAAAACTCCTAATCTGGGAGAAGTTTACGTATGCGAAAGGGTTTCTTGTAACCATCAACTGTTAAGAATATTAATTTAATTTATAAAAATTATAAACATTACAATTCTTTAGGCATAACAGGGAATAAAAAATTTTAGTGACCAATTATTTGAACATGATGACCTTCTTTTTAATGACCACTAACTGTTAAAAGGTGAGAATATATTTTTTCCGGTTTAAAGTTTTGATTTCATGAACGCTTGAAAAATATATTATTGTTACATTTGACCTTCTCATATGTTTATATATATTTATATATATATATATATATATATTATTTTACACAACCTTCACGAAACACATTTCTTCCCTCTATATGGCAAATCTTCCTTGTCGAAGGGAAAAGCGGTATTCATGCGATATGAAATTGATATTCCAAGATGTGGACTTGCTTTGCATATATTTATTTTTATTTTATTTTATTTTATTTTTTTTTTGGTGTTGACAGATTACAACATCTTTGATGACAACTTTAATAAAAAATGATCCAATTACAATTCCGATGCATGATATTTATAAACCGGTATGATTTAAAATCTAGGTATTGTATGGTCCTTTAAGGTTTAACTCCATATTTTTTCCCTTCCTTACGTTTTTTCATATCGAGATAATCACCTAAGCTAACCAACAAATAATCATCCATCAGCCGCTTCAAAACGCGGTACACGCCGCCTAATCACACGGTAACACTAAACAATCAACTTTTTTTTTTGATTAACCTAAAAAAGAAAGTAATTTTATGTGGGGTTTCTAACTTTCTAACTATGATTTACGGTATATTTGTATTTTTTTTTAATTATAATGTATAAAAGTAATAATCACATTTAAAACAAGCAATAAACATTTCATTTATTATGCAGGGTTTTTGTTCGGATTTTTTAACGTCCTTTTGGTTGAGGTGATTTGATGATTATCATTCCCTTTCGTGATTATTCAAATGTTGTCCAAGGTTCTAGTTTTTAAGGGGAATTATCCCGTTCGAGAGACAGTTACATATATATCTCTTTTTTTTTTAAAAAAAAATAAAATAAAAGGAAATTAAATTACGTCAGAGATAATTTTTTTTTGCAGAGGAACCAACCTTTTATCATGAAGTCACAGTCACAATCACAGACTTCGTCAAATAGTACATAAT